GGGGGGGGGGGGGGGGGGGGGGGGGGGGGGGGGGGCGAGGAAACCAGGCGAGTCGCTCAGGGTGGCTGAGATTCAAGTGACCTGCCCTGGAACGAACGCCTGAAAGTTGAAGCAAGACTCCGCCCCCTCTTTCTTTCTTGCTTGCTTTCTTTCCTCCCTCCTTCCCTCCCCGCCCCCTTCCGTCTCGGAAAGTTCAAAACCTCCCCGTCCTCCTGGCTAATAGATCTCGTCCATCCAGCTCTCCCTTCGCCTAATGGAGCCGCCTGCAAGCTCTCTGTCCCAGCGAGCGAGCGCTCCCGAGGGTTGGCCTGGCGTATTTCTTAAAGGAACCGCGCCCGCTCCGCGTCGGCTTCGCCTCCCCTTGCCGCTCGCTTCTTTTCGTGGAAGAGCCGAGTTTCAGGAACGTGGCTCTTCTCCCCATAGTCAGTTTGATTCCTCTTGTCCGCCTCTCTCTTGTCCCCCCCCCCGCCCCGCTCCAGAATGTGTGGTTCAATCCAAGGTCCGCTTCAGGCAAGGGGACTCCTGCTCCTTAAATCACCAGAGCCGGGGTGGGGGTGGGGGAAAGGGTTAGGCTCGCTCAGGAAGGTTTTCTATGGAAGCCCGTCTTACTGAAGCTCTCTCGCGTCTTCCTCCCGGCGAATTTTAGTCAGAAAGGCCATTTGTATCCATCCAGGTCCTACGGAAAAGCTCCCCAGTGGTTGCAGTGGTTTCTGGGCGCAGGATGAAGGTCGCTTCTGGGACTGATTGGGCTTAATTGCAGGGAATATGTGCAAGGTCGGCCTTCTATTCGACTGCTCAATTACGTGAATGATTTAGAATGCAATCTTAAATGCATTTACTAAAGACCATAGGACATGGGTCCGAATAAGCAAGCAAAAATTCAACTCTTTCAGTGATTGCACGTGAATTCAGATTTCGAATAAGTCAATTCTTCCAGATTTACTCTGAAGTATTTTTCGCATTGGTCAATAGGGCTTACTTCGGAGCGCCCCTCATTAAACTTAATACTTTTGAGTAGACCGTATGTAAGTTCCCTATAAACTACTTTAGAGATTGGGAGTAAGCTCCCAGGAAGCAGGGAAAAGGGGGGGGGGGAACCAATTCAAACACCTTAACTGCGCAGACTGGATCTCCTCTTTACCGATTTTCTGGTGGCGCGCAAACGCTGGCTCAGGGGAATTCCCTGCAGTTCTGAGTTCGGGGAGAGGAAATATAATAGTAGGATAGAGTGGGAAGAATTTGTTTTCATGGATCCCCGCCTAGTGTCTTTGGAAGGGGGAATCGAGACTTCAGGCCTCAGTGCTTTAACCACATCCCTCGGCTTCTCCAAGTCCGGGCGGAATATTTTTTTTTTTTCAAAACGGGGTGGATCTATTTCTACTATTTTTTTAAAAAAATACGCAATTTTTGGTGACATCCGTTAATATTATTGGTCTTAGTAAAGAGCCGTTAGATTTTATTTTTAAATCTGATCTGGATATTGAGGATCCTTTGCTTAAATGCGATTTTTCAGTTCTATAAATCTGGTGACAATCTGACAAATCCGTCGAAATAAATGGGATTTGCCAGATTCATAAACAACGCTCCGAAACGCGCACGCTCCTATCCCTGGATCCCCGCGGAGTTTCCTCTCAAACCACCTCGCTGCCAATCTAGGGTGCTTTCGCGTTTCACTTGGGAAATGTTTTAAAGATCTCCCCACCCTCGTCTGCACTCAACGGGAGCTTTGCCACAAACTTCTGGGACATTTAGGTAGTAGCACTGAGTCAACGCTCTGACCACTCTGCCACAGAGCGCTCGGCTGGCATCGTCGCAGAACTGACGAATTCAGAAGGACCGCTGGGCACTATATTCCTGAGCCCTTCCCTTTGCTTTTGTAGTTCTGGACCGATCCACCTCTTGGCTTCTGTTTTCGCACTACTGTTGGGGCGGCCGGGCTGCGGGTGTGGAGTCACTTGAGGGACTCCACCCCAAAGTGTTTATCGCCGGCCTGACCTTCCACCCCGCTCTAGCAGGCTGCTTGCGGGCTCCTCAGTTTGCTCGCGCGGGTGGGGGGAGCGGCTCTTCCCCCGAGTTCTGGCCCCTCCGTGCTGTGTGCAACTCAGCCTCGAAGGCGGAGGAGAAAGCCCTTGAGCTTAGACCCGCGCAGCGCAGCGCAGCGCATCCCTCTTAGACCCACAGCGAGTCGGTTTCCCTTTCAGTTCTCTCCCGGCGGTCGGGCTTGGGTCGCCGCTGCTGCCTCACTATAGCATCACTGAGAAGGCCGACCATTACACGGGGTTTCAGGGCGTGTGGATAAACCAATCTCACGGAATCTAGCATTTATAGTTCCCTTCCGTACAAAAGCCCAGCCGCGACGTTGGAAAGGCGGCAGCGCCCAACCCTTGGCTTCTCCGGCAACCGTGAGGTGCGCGGAGCCTCTGGCAGAACCCGCCAGCCATCGCTGTGGGATGTGACGTCTGCCTTCATTACTGCTCTCTCGCCACTGCAGAGCGCTCTAAAATCGCTGTTATGGAAATGCATCAGGATCAGGCTTTTCACTCTGCGCCCCCCCCCCCCCCCCCCCCCCACCC